GAGAGAGAGAGAGAGAGAGAGAGAGAGAGAGAGAAGGGGGCAGAGAAGAGAAAAAGAGAGGAGGAGAGGTGCATGGGTGGGGAGGGTGAGGCGGGTGAGGCGGGGGTAGGGAAAGAGGGAAAGCGTAAACGAAATTTTATCACAGAATATGTTTCATCACCATTTACCAGTCGTTTTCACAAGCCAGCCCTAACATTCAAACTTCAAGATATTACGGCATCAGTAACTTTTTCACTATTTATAATTCAGTTGCTTGTCACAGTTGATACAGTAAATAATTTGTTGTCATCTCCACGTTTTTACGTGTAAATAACCATCGAGCTTCGAACTTGTCGAAAGTGCCATTCCCCTCGCTGGTAAATTGAGTGAAAAACGCCGACAGTTTATCCACATGAGCCGGTAGCAACAACTAACAGTTCGCGCCCACTTACACCGGTTTCATTCAGAGACGAGAGCAAGCGGGGTTGACTCGATTTTGAACTCTAGCCCGCAGTTATTTTCGGAGAAGAGTGAGTATAGTGGTACCCATTCAGTTATTAACCAACCATCCGAGAGCGCTAGATGTGCGGGCACTTTTCAATCTCCTACGCACTCCACCTACTGTGGCCGTATATATACTTAATGTCACGCGCTGCCCTTTCCTTGACCTGCTACGCAACGACTATAACACGTAACGCCATAACATAACATAACATTGAGGGCCGGAAAATCATTCAGGCCAGGAAGTATAGCGCGAAATATAGCCCCAGTCAGGCCACTTTTTAAGCGGGGGGGGGGGGGGTCTGGGGGTCTGGGGGTCCCGGGACTCCCCCACCAAGAAAATTTATTAAATTTAAAATTAATTTTGTTGGGGGCAGCGCGCTAGGCCACTTAGCAGGCCAGGCCACCGGGAAAACTCCCGGTGCTCCCGATAACATAACATAACATAACATAACATAACATAACATAACATAACATAACATAACATAACATAACATAACATAACATAACATAACATAACATAACATAACATAACATAACATAACATAACATAACATAACATAACATAACATAACATAACATAACATAATAGCATAGCATAGCATAGCATAGCATGGCATGGCATGGCATGGC